CCAAAATGGACAGATCATCTAAGCAAATGATCAACAAGGAAATAAAGGCCTTAAATGACACACTGGACCAGATGGACATCACAGATATATTCAGAACATTCCATCCCAAAGCAACAGAATACACATTCTTCTCTAGTGCACATGAAACATTCTCCAGATCACATCCTGGGTCATAAATCAGGTCTCAACTATTATCAAAAGATTGGGATATTTCCCTGCATATTTTCAGACCACAATACTCTGAAACTAGAATTCAATCACAAGAGGAAACTTAGAAAGAACTCAAATACATAGAGGCTAAAGAGCATCCTACTAAAGAATGAATGGGTCAACCAGGAAATTAAAGAAGAATTTTTTAAAAATTCATGGAAACAAATGAAAATGAAAACACAACTGTTCAAAATCTTTGGGAAACAGCAAAGGCTGTCCTGAGAGGAAAGTATATAGCAATACAAGCCTTTCTAAAGAAACAAGAAAGGTCTCAAGTACACAACCTAATCCTACACCTAAAGTAGCTGGAGAAAGAATAGCAAAGAAAGGCCTAAACCCAGCAGGGGAAGAGAAATCATAAAGATCAGAGCAGAAATCAATGAAATTGAAACCAAAAGAACAGTAACAAATCAACAAAACTGGGAGCTGGTTTTTTGAAAGAATTAATAAGATTGATAAACCCCTGGCCAGACTTATCAAAAAGAAGAGAAAGGACCCAAATAAATAAATCATGAATGAAAGAGGAGAGATCACAACCAACACCAAAGAAACAGAAACAATTATAAGAACATATTATGAGCAACTCTACTCCAACAAATTTGACAATCTGGAAGAAATGGATGCATTCCTAGAGACATATAAACTACCAAAACTGAACCAGGAAGAAATAGAAAACCTGAACCAGTAAGGAGATTGAAGCAGTCAGCAAAAATCTCCCAGCAAACAAGAGCCCAGGACCAGACGGCTTCCCAGGCGACTTCTACCAAACATTTAAAGAATTGATACCTATTCTCCTGAAACTGCTCCAAAAAAAGAAATGGAAGGAAAGCTAACAAACTCATTTTTTAGTCCAGCATTGCCTTGATCCCAAAACCAAAGACCCCATCAAAAAGGAGAATTACAGACCAATATACTTGATTAATACGGATGCAAAAATTCTCACCAAAATACTAGCCAATAGATTCCAACACTACATTAAAAGGACTATTCACAATAACGAGGTGGGATTTATTCCTGGGCTGCAAAGTTGGAAATCAATCTGGTGATACAATATCTGGATATCAATCAATGTGATATAATACATTAATAAAAGAAAGAACAAGAACCATATGATACTCTCAATAGATGCTGAAAAGGCATTTGAAAAGTACAGCATCCTTTCTTGATCAAAACTCTTCAAAGTGTAGGGATAGAGGGTACATACCTCAATATCATCAAAGCCATCTATGAAAAACCCACAGTGAATATCATTTTCAATGGGGAAAAGTGAGAGCTTTTCTCCTAAGGTCAAGAACACGGCAGGGATGTCCACTATCACCACTGCTATTCAACACAGTACCAGAAGTCCTAGCCTCACCAGTCAGACAGCAAAAAGAAATTAAATGCATCCAAATTGGCAAAGAAGTAAAATTCTCACTCTTTGCAGATGATATGATATTTTATGTGGAAAACCCAAAAGACTCCATTCCAAAACTGCTAGAACTCATAACGGGAATTTAGTAAAGTGTCAGGATATAAAATCAGTGCACAGAAATCAGCTGCATCTCCATACACCAACAGCAAGACAGAAGAAAGAAAAATTAAGGGGTCAATCCTATTTACAATTGCACCCAAAACCATAAGATACCTGGGAAGAAACCTAACCAAAGAGGCAACAAATCTGTACTCAGAAAACTATAAAGTACTCATGAAAGAAATTGAGGAAGACACAAAGAAATGGAAAAATGTTCCATGCTCATGGATTGCAAGAACAAATATTGTGAAAATGTCTATGCTACATAAAGCAATCTACACATTTAATGCAATTCCTATCAAAATACCATCAATTTTCTTAAAAAAAATGGAACAAATAATCCTAAAATTTATATGGAGTCAGAAAGACCAGGAACAGCCAGAGGAATGTTGAAAAAGAAAGCCAAAGCTGGTGGCATCACAATTCTGGACTTCAAGCTCTATTACAAAGCTGTAATCATCAAGACGTATGATACTGGCACAAAAACAGACACATAGATCACTGGAACAGAACAGAGAGCCCAGACATGGACCCTCAACTCTATGGTCAACTAATCTTTGACAAAGCAGGAAAGAATGTCCAATGGAAAAAAAAACCAGTCCCTTCAACAAATGGTGTTGAGAAAATTGGACAGCCACATGTAGAAGAATGAAACCGGACCATTTCCTTACACCACACACAAAAATAGAATCAAAATGGATGAAAGACCTCAATGTGAGACAGGAATCCAAAATCCTTGAGGAGAACACAGGCAGCAACCTCTTCGACCTCAGCAGCAGCAACTTCTTCCTAGAAACATTGCCAAGGGCAAGGGAAGCAAGGGTAAAAATGAACTACTGGGACCTCATCATGATCAAAAACCTTTGCACAGCAAAGGAAACAGTCAACAAAACCAAAAGACAGTTGACAGAATAGAAGAAGATGTTCGCAAATGACATATAAGATAAAGGGCTAGTACCCAAAATCTATGAAGAACTTATCAAACTCAACACCCAAAGAACAAATAATCCAATCAAGAAATGGGCAGAGAACATGAACAGACATTTCTGCAAAGAAGACATCTGGGTGGCCAACAGACACATGAAAAAGTGCTCCACATCACTCGGCATCAGGGAAATACAAATCAAAACCACAATGAGATACCACTTCACACAAGTCAGAATGGCTAAAATTAACAAGTCAGGAAATGACAGATGTTGGCAAGGATGCGGAGAAAGGGGAACCCTCCTACACTGTTGGTGGGAATGCAAGCTGGTGCAGCCACTCTGGAAAACAGCATGGAGGTTCCTCAAAAATTTAAAATAGAGGTACCCTATGACCCAGCAATCGCACTACTGAGTATTTACCCTAAAGATACAAATGTAGTGATCCGAAGGGGCATGTGCACCCAAGTGTTTATAGCAGCAATGTCCACAATAACCAAACTATGGTAAGAACCTAGATGTCCATCAACCAATGAATGAATAAAGAAAATGTGGTGTATATATATACAATGGGATACTATGCAGCCATCAAAGGAAATGAAATCTTGCCATCTGCAATAACATGGATGGAACTAGAGGGTATTACGCTTAGTGAAATAAGTCAATCAGAGAAAGACAATTATCATATGATCTAATATGAGGAATTTGAGAGGCAGGGCGGGGGTTATGGGGGGTGGCAAGGGAAAAAATGAAACAAGATGGGATCGGGAGAGAGACAAACCATAAGAGACTCTTAATCTTACAAAACAAACTGAAGGTTGCTGGGGGGTGGGGGATAGGGATAGGGTGGCTGGATTATGGACATTGGGGAGGGTGTGTGCTATGGTCAGTGCTGTGAAATGTGTAGGACTGATCATTCACAGACCTGTACCCCTGGGGCAAATAATACATTATATGTTAATAAAAATAATTTAATAAAAATAATCAAGCATATAAGGGTGCCTGGGTGAGTCAGTCAATTAAGCATTTGTCAGACTCTTGATTTCACCTCAGGTCATGATCTCAGGGTCATGAGACTGAGCCCCACATTGGGCTCCATGCTGGGTATGTAGGCTGCTTAGGATTCTCTCTTCCTCTGCCCTCCCCTGCATCTCCCTTTTAAATTAAATAAATGAATAAACAAATAAATATATTTAAGACCAAGCAAATAAATAAAAAAGACAATTTTTAATTCAAAGAGGGAAAAATTTCTGAGGAAAATAAAAGTAACCACAAGATACTATATAGCTCAGCTATGAACAGTGTTCACATAAACCTACTAGCATAAATTCTGAATTAAAACTTAATCAAACTACCATGTAACTATATTGGGAGGGTGGATAGGTATGGGAAGAGTAAGTGGATATGGTGGAGACAAGGAAGATAAAACAGCTAAATTCTTATTTTTCATAATTAGGAAGTTTACTATATCTACCCCAAATTTTAAAAATCAACAAGTAAAATTACAACATGTTTTTTTATTGTCATGAAGACAAATGTCAAGTAATTGTCTAAAATATTTAAAATGTTTGCCTCTGGAGAAGCTGAGGAAAGGAACAGATCAGAGACTGTTTTATTTGCAGTAAGCTTATTACAACTGTATAATCCTTAAAATTATATACATAGATAATCTTGGTCAAAAGATATTTGGACAAATTAGAGAAAGAATAAGGAATGACAAGATGTGCAATAGGAAGAGATTTTAAAAAGTACTTAATGAAGAAAAACTGAACTAAATCATGAATGATAGTGAAGAATATACTAAAAATGTTTAACTATCAGTATCAGGATGTTCAAATGACCCAAGATTTACAAATTAAATATCTTTTTTCAGTGTTACTATTTTGTTTTAAAGTTTACTTTGTGTTAAAAAATACTAAGGGAAAGATAAAAGTAGAAAATTAAGAGATATTTATGTAACCAATTTTATTTTATATTTTTTATTTATTTTTTTTATATTTTATTTATTTATTTGACAGACAGAGATCACAAGTAGGCAGAGAGGCAGGCAGAGAGAGAGGAGGAAGCAGGATCCCTGCTTAGCAGAGAGCCCGATGCGGGGCTTGATCCCAGAACCCTGGGATCATGACCTGAGCCGAAGGCAGAGGCTTTAACCCACTGAGCCACCCAGGCGCCCCTGTAACCAATTTTAATTAGGTATACTTAGGATATTAAACTTTACCTCCCTAATTTAAGAGAGCAATGGTTTCAGAGAAGGCTTTAAAACTCGTATGATAAAACCTATCAATGAAGGTTTAATTTAAAAACAAGTAATTTATAAACAAAGCTTATCATAGCAACAAGAGCTCACTTACAAAAACCCTCATACTGGTGCTGTAGTTCATCCAAAGTAAATATAATATCTCTAATATCAACCCTGTGGTTACCTGTAATAGAAAGAATAAGTTCAAACATTGTCTTTCTTTTTTTGAACATAAATATTACTTCCATCCTATTCTAATATGAAAATAACACGGAGATGTGTGGAATGCAGAGTGGAGGGCCAGCTATTATAGGTTTTGAATAATAACTGGAATTGTGAATTAATAATTCAGTACACATTGAAATGTAAGACGAAGACCATTATTTTCTTTTCTCCTTAATAAGAGTTTCCCGTCAAAAGAAATTAGTCACCTTTTAAGCCTGAAAGCTAGGTAATCAGGATAATATTTTAATAAAACACTTTTTCTGAGAGTTTACCATAGGTAGAATTTCAAGTTTTAATTCTTGTCTTCCTCACTAGATCATGAGCTCTTCAAGAGCAGAGAAGGTGTCATTTGTTTCCCCAATGCCTGGCAAAGTATCTACTTCCCAACACTTAAAAATTATTTTTTTAAGACTTTATTTATTTATTCATGAGAGACAGAGAGAGAGCGAGAGGCAGAGGGAGAAACAGGCTCCCTGCAGAGCAGGGAGCCCAATGCGGGACTCGATCCTATGACCCTGAGACCATGACCTGAGCCAAAGGCAGATGCTTAACCAACTGAGCCACCCAGGTACCCTTAAAAATTATTTTTGAATGAATAAAATAAACTGAAGGCTGTAAAGAATAATGCAATGTCCACATTGTGGATAGCAGAAAACCATTTATTTAGCATCTTCTATGTGTCTGGCACTCATAAGTATAGTTTCCTATCATTCCTGCCCTTGCCTTTGTCTAAGACCATTTTCCTTCTTAGATAGTATATGACAGAGTATGGGTTCAGAGGCAGTGACCTTAAATAGGTCATTCCAATTGCGCACAGAGGTAGAAAATGCTTTTCCCAATAGTTCTTGCCTCCAAATGTTTGACTTTGCTTGACATCCAAGGTGAAAAAGACCAGGAGCTGACTTCCCTACCTATAAAAACACTAGGTTTATTCTTCCGTCTATGCATAAGAAATCAACTGCTCAATTACTTGCATAAGCAAAGACCCTGAAAAAAACGCAAGCTTTTAATGTGCCTTTTGAGTCAAAGAAGAATTATACACAATATAGTTTTGGTGTTGGGTAGGTTTGATTCATTCTGATTTTTGAAAATTGGTAAGCTGCATCAGGTGCAGGCCTTTAAATTACTGCAAAGCAAGGTAAGTATTTGACCCAATCGAAGAATTGCTAGACCAATTGATGCTAAGTTGTCTTCTGATTAGGAACTGTTTCTTACATTCTGTTTTTTTATTTCCTTGGTATTTAATCTCATTCTCTTCTTGATTTTGGTACTAACACCCCCCTTAGTCTCCACAGGGAATTCCTGGCACTTACTGTAGATTGAGTCCATGTCCTAAGTTCTTAGATCATAGCTTAAGTCCTAAAATAATTCAAGGCTTCAGCCCTCAAACTCTTGAATTTGATGAGTGAAAAGTACTCTGTTGGACTATATATAAATTAATCCAATGGAGAAGGACATATTGTCTATATCCACTCTCCACTTAAAAAACTGCCTTATCTGGAAAGAGGTTCAGTATCAACCAGTGAGAATGCAGTAGCTAACTATAGATTAACTAGCTCTTGCTCAAAATTTATTTCTTGCTTCTATACAAAAATAGATCTATCACAAACCTCCCAAACAAATATTATCTATTTAAATAGTCCCTGGTGGCCAAAGAAGCATTACAGAATCTGAAATTACTATTTTGGCTCCTATCTGGTTTATCAGAACCTTAATGAATAATTCCTAGTTAAGACTGAGGCAATCAGTATAGTTATAGACACAATTTATTTCATAAGGTAAGTTCAAAACAGCCTCCCATTCTCATATACATACTTCAGGGGGAAATTCAACCTAGAAAATATAAATATCTAGTGTGGAAAAAAAATATCCTAATCATCAAGGTCATATTCAGGGCAACATTACTTTGAAGGTGTTAAGTGACTATTAATACTGTATTTCCACAATCTTCACAACAGTTCCACAATATTAAAAACCTCGTCTATCAAAAAAATACACTAGTCACTACTTTTCACCCAGTTAAATTATCAGATTACTAATCACCATGAGAGAAAAAAAAACTACTGCACCAAAATATCCTATTTCAAAAACAAAACTACCTGACACTCCCAGAACTCTCACCAAGTTATTTCCCATATTTCTCTTGCCATATCTTAATGAAGCAAATGCTTTTTGGACTTCCTTGCAAATTCCAATGGCGTAATTCTTTCCTCTCATTGTGAATACTCATAAAGATGAACATATTCTCCACATATCATTATTACTCAAAAAAACCAAAGCAAATACAAAAACAAGAAGTTAAAACAGTATCTAAAACAGGGTGTGTTTATGCCTTCTACTAGTTCTATCACTCCTTACTTCAAAATTCTGTTACAGAAGAATGCATATCTCCTACCTAGGTAATCCAAGAATTCTGGCATTCTGGGGTCTTTGGCATTCTTTCCTTTAATATTTAAGGTAAATAGTTCAGACCCCAGACCATACATGATATGAACATAAATCAGTACTCCCTCCAAAATTTGAGGATTCCTGAGTGTTTTATACTCTCGCAATTGATGTGTATTTCTTCTACTCCCCTGGACTCTCGATCTCACTTACATCATCATATTCTATAGGTGCTATAAATCTCTCCACCCCAAGCCTACCTAACACAGAACCTACAGATCTTTATCCTTTAAATACCCACCAACACTACTAACACAAGGCTATTGTACATAACCAACTTTTACTAGACAACTTGCAATTAATGGGAGTAAGGGAGTTCTTTATAGTACAAAAAGCAACATCAAACTATTGTCCCGAGGTCTATAGTTACTCTCTACTGATTACAGGACCCCCAATCCACTCTTAGCTGCCCTCAATCTTCTTCCTCCAGCTGCCAATTAGCCACTATGGTAATCTAAATTCCTGTTGTTTACTTACATAGAGTACTTTACCTTACCTTTTTGCTCAAACTAGGTGTCTCCCAATAGGCTTTAACTTCCATAATCAAACAAACCTATTAAAATGATTTTCCTAGTGAAAAGACAAGGACCTTCCCTGTGAGGAATTTTATCTTAGGTCACAACCAACTTATCAAAATGACATAGTGAAGAAATCTTGTTCTCTCTGGTTACGGGAGATGGAGTAAAGGGTGAGACTTATTAACTCATTCAACATGTATTTGTTGAGCAGTTAATATGTACCATAAGCACTGTACTAATAGGTACTGAGGATACAATAGTGAGCAAAAAGTAGACATGATATCTGCTTTCCTGGTGCTCTTATTTGAGATACAGATCTTAATAAAACAATAAGAAATAAAAATTGCAATTGTGGTTAGGCCTATGAGAGTGATATGAGAATCTGAGCTCAATAGAGAAGTCATGGAAACATCCCAAAAGAGTTGAGTTTAAATCTAAAGTAGAAGTAGGAATTAACTAGGAGGAGCAGAATGTTCCAGGGAAAGAAAAGAACACATGCAAAGGCTATGGCAGGAGGAGGCATGGCATACAACCGAAAATCTGTGAAGGCACAGTAAGCAAAACAGAATGTGGTCTGCGACAAAGCTGGAGACCTACCGTAAAGGCCAGATATTGCAAACCCTTGACCACAACATTAAAGGGTTCTTCATCCCAAGAAGTATTTTTAGATTTTGTGTAGGGAGGTAACATGATGAGATGTGTATTTTTTAAAAAGAAGATTATTCTGACTATAATGCAAAGGGGGAAAGACCAGATATGGGTGGACTTGAGCCCTAAAGACTATTTAATAATATGGCTTGATTAATCTTTAAAATCCATATTTTATGGATATCTTCATTCCTCAGAACATCCCTCCACTTATGTCTACCAACCCAGAACCCACCATAAATGACTACCTGGTAAAATCCATGTAGCCTGGGGTGCCTGGGTGACTCAGTCAGTTAAACGACCAACTGTTGATTTTGACTCAGGTCATGATTTCAGGGTTGTGAGATTGAGTCCCATGTCAGGCTCTATGCTGGGTGTGGAGTCTGCTTAAGATTCTCTGTCTGCCCCTCTGATTCTTCTCCCTCTCAAAAAAAAAAGAAAAAGAAAGAAAGGAAGGAAGATAGAAAAGAAAAGGAAAGGAAAGGAAAGAAAAGAAAAAAAGAAATCCATGCAGCCTGGTTCTATTTCACACCACATTTCAGCAACCAAAGGCACCCTATAAAGCTACCACTAACAAGTGACAAAAACCAGTGGAAGTCCATTGAAAGGATGTCATGTCTGATTATTTTTCTGCCATATTTATACAAACTATTCCCTCAGTCTAAAATATCTTTCTCATTTTTCATTACCACCTTCAACCAATTAACCCCTACTGATCCTTCAAGATTTAGATCAGATATAACATCCTTTGATAATCTTTCCCTGGTGCTTTCAGGATACATTTGCAGCCTATCTACATTCTATAATAGTATTTGCTATACAACATTATAATTCTCATTTTACTTGACTCCTTCCACACTAGAATGTGAGGTCCTTTGGAATAAAAAGTGTGTTCTATTCATCTGTGTATCACCTAGCACAGTTCCAAGCACAGTAGATATTAAATGACTAAATGAATGGATAATCAAAGAATCAATAATTTATCAGTCCACTATTATCAGCCACCCCCTCATGACATGTAAACATGTACTACAAAACATCTGCTAAATATATTTGTAATGTTTAAAAGATATCTACATTTTGCAGAGTAACTGAATAACATAGGAAGATTATGTAATCAAAGCTATCTAAAAAAATTTTTAATTCAAGAAATTTAGGTCTCCAAACTTGTGAAACCAATGCCCTTCACACTACAGAAACTATCTCTACACAGACAAGAAATAACTACTGGAAAAGAGAGTTAAATTTGAAAAGAAAATAAATCCATTTTTCTCTTGGATTTTTACCAAACATACCAGAATACAATTTTAGAAATTTCTCATTTAATTTTCCTAGGCTATCTCTTACCATAAGACATCAGTAAGCAGTGATGATGGCAAAAAGGCAAGAATCAAGAAGAAAAAGGAGAAATAAAGGGTAAATCTGAAAATTGATATCCAAGAAAGATATATACACATATTAATTCAAATAACTCACTGTCTATACTAGCATGTTTTATCACTTCCTGAAAAGTTTCAGGGATTACAGGGATATCCATGCTATCCAAAACAGCAGCCAGTTCTTCAGTGGCAACTCGACCACTTTTTATCCTACAGAAAATCTTCAAGGCATTCTGGAATGCTGCAAAAATGCAATAAAAAAAGAAATTATTTTACCATAAGAACCAACAGCTTTTCTTGGAGGAGCTAATTTTGTGTCAATAATCTACCACAGGAAAATAACATGGGCATAGGGTTTTCTAAAATTTTACTTGCAGGTAGGCATTTGCTCAATTCTGACATTCTTTGTAAAAAATACAATTTTTGCTATTATCACTAGTGATATGATATTAGCAATAATAGCTGGCATTTACTGAATGCTATTTATATGTTGAGCATTGTGCTAAAATCTATGAGCATTGTGCTAAAAGGTATGGGTTCTTTCATTATAGCATATTCACCTCTTAGTTAAAACTTTTAACTGAAATAATTTCTTACCAGCGGTATAATCTATAATAGCAGGGCAGCTTAAACCAAAATTTGAAAGCATCATTAATTGCTTAAAAATGTCATTTAGAAAAAATAGTATAAGAGGAGAATGGAATAGATCACAAAATTTCTCTTTAGATTTTTTTATCATATTACAAAGAATTGAGCAGTGGTTTAACCACTACTGAAAGAACTTCTGTTTCTCCACAGAAACTTCATTTTAAAAAAAAAAAAAAAAAGAGAGAGAGAAAGAAAGAGGCTTCATTTTCTTATGCTAACATAAGTATCAAAAGTACTGGAAAGAACACAGAGAGAATTTTTCCTACACAAATGTCTTTCTTAAAACCTAAACAGATTGATACCTGGTCCTAATGCTGAATTTAAGTGCTCCTCAGAACACTGCATCCCTCAATTTAATTTGATAAGGAAACACAATTCCCATAATCAATTCCAGAGAGCAAACCACTTTATAGTCAGACCACATTTCTTGGAATTCAGGCTATAACAAGCATAATGATCCAAAAGGTTTTAGATTTGCACAGGAGGAAGAACTGGGCATTATTCATTTATTCAACTAGTAGTTATTGATCAAATGAGCAAAAGTGGCAGAGGAAGGATGCCTGAGAATCCTCTCCTCCATAAAAGCAATGAGAACACTGGCAAAAGTTGTCAGAATCAACTTTTCCCAAAAACTCTTGATATAAATCAAAGGATTACAGCAATCCAAAGAGTGTTTTTTCAAGAAAAATGGCTGAATCTCAGTAATAGTGAACTTTGTGGCATTTTAACTTGTCATATTCCCATATCATCATCCCAGCTTCCCAGGAATATTTAAAACTGAGAGCCTATAATCATGCTGAAAAACAGGAGCCTGGCAGCCAATGGGAAAGAATGAGGTTAAATTTCTTCAAAGCCCCATTCCCTAAGAACTGTCATTATTAGACCTGTTTGGTGGTTCTGTGGAAGACCCTACTTGCAAAACTGTCCTTATTTTACCTGACTCAAAGCTTGCCCAGTGCAGAGTCTTTTCCCTGGGAGTACTCATTAAAAACAATCAGAGGCAATTAGTTAACATTATGACTGCCTGAAGTGGTAGGTAACAGTTGGAACAAGCACCGGGTGTTATATGTAAGTGATGAATCACTAAATTTCCCTCCTGAAGCCAATATTACATTAGATGTTAACTAATTAGGATTTAAATAAAACTTGAAACAACAACACAAAGACAGATTCTGAAGCCCTGGTCTTCAATGCTACTGCTACTCTTCCAATAGCATACTGATTTTAAAAAGTCAAATAAACCCACAACTGTACAAAGAATAAAGATAAAAGCAACATAAATTTCCCAGCCAGGGCATGCAAAAATAATGTATTTTGATTAATATCCTACTTGGATACCTTTCTATGTCTCTTTACACACATCGATGACTGTGAACATTTCACCCAAATAAAACAGTAGATATAGTCTACTATCTTTCCACTCAGAAATTTCTAAGTCAATAAAAGCAGCTGGAGCAAACAAAAGGCTAGCAAACAGCTTAAAAGGAAAATCTGGGAAATGAGATGTCCATAGAGGCTTTTGAAAGTGCCAACATATTCCTGAACATCTAGATGGCCATCCATCTATGGCACACATGGATAGGGCCATACCCAGGAAAACCTGAACAGGTCCTGAACTCTCACCTCTGGCTTACCTTGAGGATACACATAAGCAGGAAGTGAAGGCTAAGGAAGAGTTGAAAACTATCTGAGTGTGGAAGGCATGCCCCAGTGCATGCACATAGTCCCTCTGGTTCTCTTCTACCTAATAATTGACAACTAATTTTGCCTTATAAAGACATCATAAAGATACAGGCACACATATAAATATAAACTATAATACAAAAATAAATATATATAAAATATAAAAATATTAAAAAGTTATATTCATTGTGAAACTGTTTATAATACTAAGATAATTAGAACAATTAAATATTCAATAATAAAGGACTAGTTAAATAAATCATAGTATATCTGCATTCTTCAGATACCATGCAGCTATTAAAAAGTAATAGGCTGGGGCTGCCTGGGTGGCTCAGTGGGTTAAGCCTCTGCCTTCAGCTCAGGTCCTGATCTCAGGGTTCTGGGATCGAGTCCCACATCGGGCTCTCTACTAGGCAGGGAGCCTGCTTCCTCCTCTCTCTCTCTCTCTCTCTCTGCTTGTGATCTCTCTCTCTGTCGAATAAATAAAATCTTTAAAAAAAAAATTAAAAAAAATAAAAAAAATTAAAAAAATAAAAAAAAAAAAAAGTAATAGGCTGGGACGCCTGGGTGGCTCAGTTGGTTAAGCAGCTGCCTTCGGCTCAGGTCATGATCCCAGCGTCCTGGGATTGAGTCCCACATCGGGCTCCTTGCTCATCAGGGAGCCTGCTTCTCCCTCTGCCTCTGCCTGCCATTCTGTCTGCCTGTGCTTGCTCTCTCTCCCTCTCTCTCTCTCTGACAAATAAATAAATAAAATCTTTAAAAAAAAAAAAAAGTAATAGGCTGACCTACACCAACTGGCATGGAAAATCTTCTAAGACATATTATTCAGTTCAAAAAAAAATCATGCTAGACAACAATATATTTGGCATGATCCCTTTGTCTTCAAGTAGAAGATAATTCTATTTTTCCCTTCTATTTTCTTGGGTCTCTTGATTCCTAACTGTATGCTTGATTTTTTCACTTGCCTCTGTAGATTTCGTCCTCTTATTCTCCTCTGCCTAGTAACTGATAACTCATTTTGTCTTACAAAATATATAAGTATGTATATATACATATAGATTCATAATTGCACATAAAAAGATTCTAAAGTCAACATTAAATTAACAATCTAAGAAGGATTAAAGAGGGTCTTTTACATATTTTTTATATTTTGCTTGGATATTTTATAAAAATAGCATATTCAAGGATTAGGCATATTGTTTTAAGAGGTGAAAAAGAAACTTGGGACTTTGTTAGTCTCAAAACATTTGACAGTAAACAAAAATAAGGTCAAAATAGCAATCTGGGACTTGAAAAACAAAGGAATACATGGCAGCTAAACTTTGGCTTGAAAAGTAGGCAGCACTTAGGAAACCAAACATACATATACATCTATAGTCAAGGAAAAAACCTTGGTTTTCAAGATGACATAGGAGAACCAGGAGAAACCCAATACTATAGGAGTTAAGCAAAATGTCAAGTAGGAAGTAAGGATTAACAAAAGAAAAGCAAGCCAAGCATTATATCTATATTGTTAATTGCTGCATATAGTAGGCATTTAATAACATTTATTACATTAAGAAATACATAAACATTAAAGTTTTTCTAGCCTTTTGCTTGCTTATCCAGTTATATGAAGACTATCACATTCATACATCCTTGATTCTAAGAAAATACAGTGAGGTTGACTACAAAAATATGTAATCCCAAGAACTGATTATAGGAACTTGATCTTGCCTAATGGAAAAACCAAGGAACTGGCTTTTGTTGAGTTGTGTTGTGTTGTGTTGTGTTTTAAACCAAGGAACAGTTAAAATTAGGTCATGAACACTATCAGACGGAAGCACCGTTTCTATCACTAACATGAATAGTTCTTCCTATCACGTTCTTTGCAATTTATATGTAGTATAAACTAAAAGTTGTTAGGATATCCATCAGTATATGAAATTTTGGGAGAGAAATATAAGCAGTGCAGAGGGTACTGTTAAGCTATAGAAGAAAACAGACATGTTTGAGACTTCAAAGAGAAAAAAAGAAAAACACACATGAACAAAGGTGTGGAAATAAAAATGAAATTGGTAATATTTTTGATTAACTGGAGCATGGGGTTCTTCCCTGGAAAAGACCCTACAGAGAAAGGAGGAATGGCAAGCAAAATTATGAAGAGGTGAGGACGCCAGGCATAAGAGTTTGGACTTCATTCATTTAATCATAGAAAGAACATCTAAATTTTTGAGCAGCAAAATGACATGACAAAAATCACATTAAGAAAACTAATCTATTCCTGGGCTGCAATGTTGGTTCAACATCCACAAATCAATGTGATATGATACATTAATAAAAGAAAGAATAAGAACCATATGATACTCTCAATAGATGCTGAAAAGGCGTTCGAAAAGTACAGCATCCTTTCTTGATCAAAACTCTTCACAGTGTAGGGATAGAGGGTACATTCCTTAATATCATCAAAGCCATCGATGAAAAACCCACAGCGAATATTATTCTCAATGGGAAAAAAAATGAGAGCTTTTCCCCTAAGGTCAAGAACATGGCAAAGCCTCTGCCTTTGGCTCAGGTCATGATCCCAGGGTCCTGGGATCGAGCCCCACATCGGGCTCTCTGCTCAGCAGGGAGCCTGCTTCCTCCTGCCTCTCTGCCTACTTGTGATCTCTGTCTGTCAAATAAACAAATAAAATCTTTTTTTAAAAAAGGGGGGGTGTGCCTGGGTGGCTCAGTGGGTTAAAGAACACGGCAGGGATGTCCACTATCACCACTGCTGTTCAACATAGTACTACAAGTCCTAGCCTCAGCAATCAGACAACAAAAAGAAATTAAAGGCATCTGAATTGGCAAAGAAGTCGTCAAACTCTTACTCTTTGCAGATGATATGATACTTTATGTGGAAAACCCAAAAGACTGCACCCCAAAACT